TACCCTCAACGTACAGGCATGGACGTAATTTTGGGGGGGGACAGGGGGGACATGTCCCCCCCACTTTTTCCAAAGTCAAGTTTTGACCCCTGCACTTTTTACCATCCAAAAACAATATTACGCAATATTAAATTGACACTGGTTGAGCTCTAGGACCAAGCGGACCATTAGAACATACTGTAAAGACACCCCCCCACCTCCGTGTCCCCCCCACTTCTAAAGTGAAAATTCCGTCCTTGCGCACAGGTACCAAGATTAGGGGCAACAAGTATGCCCACCCCTGCTCGGCGCCACGCAGTGGGAGCAACTCCAGGGTGGTGAAAGTCCAGCCTCTCTCGAGGAAACTGGTTTCCGGCCCAGAGCTGTGCGTTGAGGTGAGTCCAACTATATCTAGCCGGAACCTCTCACACCAACTCCGGGTCTTTACCCACCAAAGAGGTGACATCCCACGTACAGAGAGCTAGCTTTTGTAGCCAAGGATCAGACCGCCAAGGTCCCTGCTGTTGGCTACCAACTGACACACACTGCACCTGACTCCTTTGTCCCCTCCAGTGAGTGGTGAGCTCATGGAAAGGGGGACCCACATCTCCTCTTTGGGCTGTGCCCGGCCGGGCTCCATGTGTAAAAGCCCGGCCACCAGGCACTCGCTTGCATGCCGCAACTCCTGGCTCCAGAGGGGGAACGGGAACCCGCGTCCAGGCGAGGGAACTGTTTCCATTTAAGGGACTGTCGGGCAGCTCTTGTGTCTGATCCCTCACACAGGACTTGTTTGGTTTCTAGCACCATTTTGTTTAAAAATAAAAATTAAAAAAATGTCAGAAACATATGAATTTTTTTTTCAATGGGATGTTTATTTTATCGGACAATTAATTAAAAACAACCATAAATATAAGTGTTACTGGTACTTTTATTACTTTGGTACCTTTGGGTTGACTCTAAAAGCTAATCAGTTGTAGAAGAGCATCCAGTGATCTCTCAGAGTTTCATCAAAATCTGCTCTGTGGGTCTCAGATATGTTTCTAACTCAAGAAAAAACATTTTCCCCAGCCAGCAGCAGGTGATAACAACTATGGTTCATGAAACCAAGAGCTTCAGCCACTAGGCACTTGTGGAATTATTACTTTCTCTAACAATCCAGAGGAAAGCATGAAAACTACATGTTGTTTTAGCAGTCTGAGACTAGAGACTAGAATTATTACCATCTAAGAGATGGAGATAATATTACTCTCAAAGAAGAACACACGGGTAAAAGGACAATGTCATCTCACACCCACTCACACTCTGAATGTCCTGTTCTGTAAAAGCTCCGCTGACATGTTGGAACACAACCTCCACCAGGCTGTGAGTGATCCCATGTCATGTTTCCCCACTGCGGCGCTACGGCGGGGCTCAGATGAGCTCCCTGCTACCCTTGGACTCCAACATCCACCCAAGTCCCTCTCCTCTCCTTTTAGCTTTAGTAAACACAATAATAGCAGTGCCGTGTTGGTGTGGGCTCTGTGTTAACACTGTGGCTGTCAAAGGCCATCATGCCCCTTCAAAGGATGATGGCTCTCTAAAGTGGGCTCTCTCAGTGGCAGCCATTTTCCACTTGACTGACCCCACACAGAAAGGGGGACTGGTAACCCCTAGCAGCTGAGCTAGGCTGGTCACTGGGGGTGGGGAGAGGGAGATGAATGGTTTGATGAAAGGGGAGAAAGCTAATAGTGAGATCAGACAGACAACTAAATGCATCAAGAGTTGTGTTTACTTTGTTCTAAAACATTCCCCTTTACCCTCCGTAACACCTCTGACTCCGTCCTGGTGCAGTTCCACCTTTAGGCTGGGTGTTTGATAAAAATCTAAAATATTAGAATCAAAATAAAGAGCTGTGTGGAGAACCAGCAGGAATTGCGTCCGATACCTGGCAGATCGGTGGGACTGGTTGGGAGCAGACAGCAGCGTCCCACTAGCAGCTGGAAACCAAAACCCAGCGAGCGAGCCTGCTCGGCCATATGGGCTTTGTGTCAACACCCGGAGTCCACTCGGGCCTCTGCTCAGACAGACAGAGCAGGAAGCATTTTCATAAATCACTTCTCGACACCAAATCAAGGTTATGTGGCCGGCAGGCTGTTGCCTTTAAATTGTGCTTGCACTTATGAAGTAGAAAAGCTCTGCTGGGATTTAAAGAGCTCTTAAGCTATTTAATGCTGCAAAATTAAGATGATCCTTCCTCGAACTCTGATGATGGTGCATTTGGTTTACATGTGTTGTTGTGCGCCGACTGTAAATCTGCTTGTGTCCCCCACCTCTGAAGGAAGCTCTGCTACCCACAGTGCTGAGGTAATAATTAGCTCACTGCAGCGGGGTAACAAGTTTGCACCCCCGTCCTTCTGTGCAGCTCTGTAGTTGGTTCCCCTCATGTGGCACAGTCTGGGCCCCAGAACAAAGGGTTCCCAGAGGGGGAATCTACACTGACCCATGCTGAACCCTCCACAACAATGACAGGCAGGAAGCATTTACATATGCTGACAGACTTGTCTCTTCCTAGGGTGGAGTGCTGGGCACTTCATTAAAGCAACATCAATACCTGCTGATGGAAAACGAGGAGCGGACCCGCGTGCATCGCTGTCTGCTCCAAGACGCTATAGTGAAATGACATAGGGCTGTCACGTCTAATTTCAAATAAATGGATGACATTTATTAAAGCGAGTGTGTGTGGAAATTGATGGGAGAGAGGCGGTGAGATGCTGTCAGAGCCATGCCTGTCTGCATGCATCAGCAATTGGTTTACCCACAAGCTGTTCACCTGCCCATCAGCTGCCAAAATCTGCCGGCCTCCGGGTACGCCCGTACAAATTTCCCAGCATTTTATTTCCTATTTTTGACCCAGGAAAACAGTTTATGCTCCCTAGCTTTTAAACAGCTTCCTATTAAGCCTGACATGCCCCTCAGTAAGCCCCAAATTTGTCCCTTAGAAGGAGGATCGTGCAAAGTCAGGGACAGGTGACACCTCTGTCAATTCAGCAGCCACGCTGCAGGAGTGCAGGTGGGTTCTTCTATTCACTGCATCATGATGCTGTGAATTCATTCTCTCATCCATTTAAAGGACGGGTAAGTCCTCCTTCCATTTGACACGCTGCTCATTTAGCTGAGAGGCACCGTGGCTGGCTGGAGGAGAGGGGGCCGGGGAGCTCTGTGTTGGTGTTGAGGGGTGAGGGGGCTCTTAGGGAGGTGTCGACCTGAGCAGATGGACTTCTCAGTGGCGTAGTAAGTGGAGTTTTCACATGGCAGAGGAGACTGCAGGATCTCACAGGACTGGGGCTCAGAATCCAGGTGGCCCCGGCCCCTCCTGACCAGCTGGAGGAGCGAAGGGACCATCTGACACTCACAGGAAAATGATACACTTTTCTTTGCCTGCTTTGTTGCGTCTCGACACAAAAGCCCAGAGCCAATCAAGGAATTTAGCTAATCAAGCGTAGAGAAAATCCTTTTGATTACTTACAAGCATTCAAGGTCATGTTCACTAGAGAGGAGCAAAACCAGCACACGTTCTCAAGGTGATGTCATGCGTTCTGCTAAATTCATCTAAGGCAAAACAATAGATCTGGTTGAGCTAACAGGGGTTTCTTGCAAAGCTGTTCTGTGAGTTTCAACCAACCAGCACAGTGATTCATGTTCTCCACAATGTGAATTCAGCAAATCCAAGTGAGACAGTCCCATCTGCGCTTCCCCTCCACTGATCCCGAGCCCTGGAGGCTGCAGAGGGCTAATTGTGGCCGCGTTTCCCCCCCCTTATCTTTTTGTTTTTACTCAGCGTTGGGGTCAAGAAAGCTCCCAAGTGACCAGCGGCAGGAGCAACAGCCATTGGCCCCCGCTGAGCCTCAGTAATTAGAGCCCCCCTCCTCCCCATTGCTGTGTTTCCCCACTGATCCGTGGACTGGGGAAACCTTTCTGTCTCCTTCTGAAGGGCAGCAGCTGACAGGGAAATGTTTTCCGGTTCCTGGGGATGACCCTCCGTCCTCTTCAGCAGCACCTGACAAAATATGAACTGACATTTCACAGAATAACGGCTGCAGTTTCTTTTGACTGTTATCTTGTCTCACACCTGTAGCTTATTGGTTTTGGTTAGGGTTAGGGTTAAGGTTAACCGTAACCCATGACTAGTTATCATGTGGAACAGGTCGGTGTGTGACTGGCATTAACATCAGAAACATCAGCTCTGCTGGTAATAAAGACACTATTTTTGAGGATTATGATGACTCATTTAGCCATAGTTGATATTTGACTAATACAACTAACTAAATAAGAATTATATATGCAAAACATCTACAATAGAATACAATAGAATAGAATAGAATAGAATAGAATAGAATAGAATAGAATAGAATAGAATAGAATAGAATAGAATAGAATATTATTGACCTTCAGTTGAGAAAATTTGGTTTCACAGTAGCAATTACATACTTTATATCAGCAAAAAAGAGAGTAAAAGATAATAAAGAGTAAACAACAAGAAAACACCAACATACTCAAAACATTTAACCTGATATTTTGGTTAAATTGATCTCAAACCAACACAAAGGTCTTTCTCTACAGCTCCCTGCTTTCAGACATCCAGCGTTTGTGACGAATGGAACAAGAAAACCTTTGCTGTTTTCTGTTTTGCTGGTGACTCATAGATTTAATCTGTAGAATAAAACTATAGTAAGCAACAGTTTTGATATAAAACTTGGTCACATTTATTGTTACTGCAGGATGAATGTAAAAGAATTTTAGATCACGTTTATGAAATAAACCATGAGGACACCTGTTTCCTTCACCTCCACTGACTGGGTGTGTTGTAAACTGAGCCTGCAGATTCTTCGCTGTTGGGGTTTAAAGAGTTCTTGTGACACCTGCAGGCTGAAACAACCACAGGTTTGAAATATTAGGAAGAAAAACAAATCATCAGAAACCCAGCAGAATGTAGTGAAGAGTAAAATAACAGGGACTAAATATCACAACATATAGGCCAGGGATAATAAATGATCATAATTTATTTAAAAATACTAAAAAAACAGACAATAGTAATATATAAGAATAACAGTTTTCATCCATGTCACAATAAAATGATCAAGACTTTCAACATGGGAACATTTTTTTAAAGACCCACTTCTGTTTTTCTACAATTTAATTCTAGTCAGCATTAGTTGTTTTAATAAAGCCTTTTTTATGACTTTGTTATCATTTTTTATTTGTTCCTAAAAAGAATAACATTAAGTAAATTTTTGTTAATAATCAAACAATGAAGTTTACTTACACTAACATAACAACAACAGTATTAATAAATTGCTGTTTATTTCCATTTAATTATGTAAAGAATTTAGGGAAGTTTATCATATCTGTGTGTTTGTTTGCTGGCAAAATCTGTCATGAACCCTTCGTTTAGTGTAACTCTGAAGAAGTCTTCGTCGAATATACGAGTCAGCTTCATTCAAGATGGCTGCTGCAGCTCATTAATCCCAGCAAACACCAAACATGGCTGAATCAGTTTCATAGAGGTTGAGCTGAGCTGTGATGCAGAAGCTGAGTCATCCCTCACCATCATGAAGGACACTGCACGCTGCACGAGTCTCCCGAGCTAAAGAGCCGCTGCAGGTTAATCAGAGGAAACATGGTGACAGAGCCGAGCAGCGAGCCCATCTGGGCAGCAGCTCCACACCAGACCAAAGCGCTGTGGCTCCGGTCTCTCAGGATCACTCCCACCATCACTTTCACGTATGACAGTGTCCCAGTAAACAGGAGCCATGAGAGAACCTGGAACCAAGGGAGACAGAGCAGAATCACTGATCATGTGATAATCTGGGACTTGAATTATTTCAGTCAATCCAGTGTTTCACTCACAATGATTGCCTCTCCTGCTGCAGAACCACGGAGCAAAGGACAGGGACTCATGGCTGCCATGGCCATGTTGTAGCTGCCAAAGCCTGACCCCAGCGCAGTCAGCACACCCAGAAAGGTCAGAGACCTGAACACAAAGAGTTCTGTCAGCCTCAGCACACAAATCCTGTTCTAAAGCAGAACCCTTTACATGACTGGGATCAGATGTGGTTGGAACAGGAGGAATCAGGACAGAAGACACACATGTTAGAACTTGACTGGTTTCAGAGACTCGCTCTTGATTTTTACCTGTTTGGGAAGAACATTGCTATTGTGCAGGCCACAGGGTTAGCCACAGATGCCAGAGCTGCAGAGAGGTGATAGGCCAGGTTACCGTAGGGCATGCAGGAGTACGTCTGCACAGAGGGCAGCAGGCCGTTGGTCGCAGCGTTAACCCACAACACCAGAAAGTAGATGTAGGCCAGCTGGTAAATGGAGTGTTTTGAGCTTGGACCTCCCTCCTGGCTTTTCTCATTCCCTCTATCAACCTGAGCCTCGGGGTTCTCCAACCCAGAACTGATTGAGGGTACTGGATCAGGGACGAGCTTTTCTGTGGACAGTTCAAACCTCCCAGGAAGCTTGTTCAGTGCAATGAAAGCAGCCAAACTTATACACATCATGGCTGCTAGGAAGCAGAAGAATACCTCTGTGGAGAAGTTTGGAGGAAGATACTCTGTCTGTAGCAACCACAAGTCCTGGTCCGAGTGGTTTCCCAAAGCCTGAGAGGAGTTGACACATTTAGCAATGCCGACACCTTGAGCCAAAGCGACCACACCCGGAATTAAACCACTCAGTCCTTCTCCAATAAAATATGTGGTGACATATATTTTAGGAAGCTGCATCATGAAAGGGAGAAAAGAAACTGAAGATGTGCAGTCCACTAGAGAAAGAAAGAAGGTAAGGATGAAAAAGGCTGTGCTATGTGGCGCCCCGGCCACCATCGTAGTCTCATTCCAGAAGAAGATGAGCAGGACGCAGGACAGGATGCCGATGGAGAGGACGGAGTAAATGACGGCACGTTCATTGAGACGGCCTGGGCTCAGCTTGTGCATGACGGTGACCAAGAGTGGACCCAGGTTGGCCAGCTGGATGATGACAGTGAGGTAGGAAGGGAGCTCCCAGCCTTCAGGGAGAGAGTTAACGATGAGAGGGAGTTCCACCCACAGACCGTTCACCGCCACCCAAGAGCCCAGGCCAAAGGCACAGGCCAGCAGGTGCACAAGCACAACCATGGCAGAAGAGGCCAGTCCACTCCCGCAGCCTGTCAAAGAGAAAGGAGAACCTTTAAACCCAAAAGGTTCAGATTTGTGTTTATTCTCAGAAGTTCAGGCACAAAGAATCTGCTGTTTATTATCCAAGTTAAACTGGCTCAGCTCCTTAAGCTGATGCTATAGGAGCCACTGAAAACCCGTTATTACATCAGTGAGTGTATTTGAACAGAAATAACCTCATTGTTATGAGCATAGGCCTATGTTTGGTTTCTGGCTCTGTGTGAGGGATATTTGATAGCGACCCTTCTTCTCTGAAGCTGGAATGTAAACAAAAAAAATTACTTCCTGTTTAAATAAAGATTTGCTCCAAGAATGGCTCATTCTACCTTTCCACCTGCCCATTTGTAAAATTAACACAAGTAATTTTATCTTAGAAAACAGCTTCTTATCTTCTAGACTGATCCTGACAGAATGAAAAAAGACAGAATTTGTTCATTTACTCCTGAAACATAACACACAAGTTGATTAATGGAACAGGGAACAGTCATTTCTTACCTAAAAAGAGTTTAAACAGATGTTACGTCTATGTCAGCCATTTTTCTGTTCCTTCAGTTGATAGAACAAATTTTGTCATCAGTTCCAAAGGTCAAACCTTTTGAAGGTTTGGAAACAGAGAAACCTCCTGACAGAATCCTGCTGAACATGGAGATGTACTCACACCTTTCTTTGTTTCCTGAAAGCACTACACTGTGTTTTTGATCATTGTAGATGGAGTTTAATGGCAAACCAGCGCTGGCTGCTCCTTCACAAGCTCACGCTGCAGAGGTCAGAGTCCGCTGCAGCTCCACCTCATAACAGAGGGCAGGGGCTTCTCTGCAGCCTGCCTTCATGTGGGTCAGCTCAGCCTGGAAGCTCTTTGATGTGTTTGTAATCTTAATGATGGTGGCTTGGTTCTATAATGCTTTACTACGGGTCAAAAACAGCTGGGTCTGTCTGTTTACTCCTGATCATGATGTCATTCAGCCTGAAACAGTTCTACTCCTTCATACTGGCACAACTTTGACTATTCTTACATCGCCCCCTACTGGCCATAGGTAGAAACCACAGTTAGTCGATGTCATGTGACCTTTGTAAAGTGAATGTTTTTAAACTGTATGGTGGAAAAATAAGTTAGAACTGGTCCCACTTTCATTAAGTGTTACCTTGTTGATTCAGTCATATCTAATCTCTGTTTCTTCTAACTGAGGTTGTTTAAAAATGGCAGATAAGATAGTAAAGCTCATCAACTTCTCTCAGAAAAATGCTTTAAAACTCTGAACTTACCCTTTAACATGGGTTGTGTGAGTACACCTGTAGTGAAAGGAAGCCTTTTTGTTTACTCTACGAGGTTGGTTTATATATTCACGTACATTTCATCTCACACGTGTTTCAGCTGTTCTTAGCCATTGCTCACTGGAGTCTGTGTCCATGATGAGTAAAATGCTGCCTACTGGGCTCATATCAGGTGAATGATTCAATCAATGGAGAACATTCAGTTTTAACAAGCTGGAGAACTGGTTGAGTATGGTTTGGATCATACGGTAGTCTCCCTGTAGGGTGTTGTTCTATCCAAACAGACCAAACATTCAAATTAAACTATTCTGTTGGAACATCAAGAGCAGACATCATTTAAGCTGCCATCACCAAAGATCAGATCTGGTTTGGGTTCAGCTCTTACCAACACATTCTCAGTTAGGAAAGAGGCGAAGATTAGAGACATGAATCAGGATGAAAGCTATTAAACCAGAAATATTTTATCCCACAAAAGAAATGTGACCAGGTTTATCTTTGCTCCAAATTTCCATTTATGTAAGAAAACTTTATAGGAAGTGAGCAAATGAAAAAATGGGTAAACGTAACTCGCTTCATTAAACTTGTTTCCCATGAGTCAAACTCCTCCAGCATGTTAAATCCTTACGGGTTGGATGTTTGGTAGGAGCTGCGTTTCAAACTAGTCGGTAAAAGAAGATTGGAATATTTTGTAAGTATTTTAAACCTGAAGAAAAAAAAAGATTAGTTGTAGATTATAGTCCTAATCTTGTTGAAATTACTTGGTTTCCTTGTCTCACTCTAAACTGACACAGTTCTCAGAAGTATTTTCTGTTGGGTTTATTTGGCCTCTTTTAGGGTTTTTTTTTACTACAACTCATTTTACTATTTTTATTTAAAATGCAAGACCTTGAGGTCAGTTGGTGTTTCTTGTTGGTTTCAAATGAGGATGTGTGTCTTTTGCAGACACCCATGTACAGGTGCTGGCCAGTAAATTAGAATATCATCAAAAGGTTGAAAATATTTCAGTAATTCCATTCAAAACGTGAAACTTGTACATTATATTCATGCAATGCACACAGACCAATGTATTTCCGATGTTTATTACATTTAATTTTGATATTTATAGGTGACAACCAATGAAAACATCAAATCTGGTATCTCAGAAAATTAGAATATTCTAAAGGCCAATGAAAAAATGTTTGTTTCTCTAATGTTGGCCAACTGAAAAGAATGAACATGAAAAGAATGTGCATGTATAGCACTCAATACTTAGTCGGGGCTCCTTTTGCCTCAATAACTGCAGTAATGCGGCGTGGCATGGACTCGATCAGTCTGTGGCACTGCTCAGGTGTTATGAGAGCCCAGGTTGCTCTTCAGCTCCTCTGCATTGTTGGGTCTAGCGTATTGCATCCTCCGCTTCACAATACCCCATAGATTTTCTATGGGGTTAAGGTCAGGCGAGTTTGCTGGCCAATCAAGGACAGGGATACCATGGTCCTTGAACCAGGTGCTGGTGGTTTTGGCACTGTGTGCAGGTGCCAAGTCCTGTTGAAAGGTGAAGTCTGCATCCCCATAAAGTTGGTCAGCAGCAGGAAGCATGAAGTGCTCTAAAACTTCCTGGTAGACGGCTGCATTGACCCTGGACCTCAGGAAACAGAGTGGGCCAACACCGGCAGATGACATGGCACCCCACACCATCACTGACGGTGGAAACTTTACACTGGACCTCATGCAACGTGGATTCTGTGCTTCTCCGCTCTTCCTCCAGACTCTGGGTCCTTGATTTCCAAAGGAAATGCAGAACTTGCTTTCATCAGAAAACATAACTTTGGACCACTCAGCATCAGTCCAGTCCTTTTTGTCCTTGGCCCAGGCGAGACGCTTCTTGCGCTGTTTCTTGTTCAAGAGTGGCTTGACACACGGAATGCGACACCTGAATCCCATGTCTTTCATGAGTCTCCTCGTGGTGGTTCTTGAAGCGCTGACTCCAGCTGCAGTCCACTCTTTGTGGATCTCCCCCACATTTTTGAATGGGTTTGTCGTCACAATTCTCTGCAGGGTGCGGTTATCCCTAGAGCTTGTACACTTTTTTCTACCACATTTTTTCCGTCCCTTCGCCTGTCTGTTAATGTGCTTGGACACAGAGCTCTGCGAACAGCCAGCTTCTTTAGCAATCACCTTTTGTGTCTTGCCCTCCTTGTGCAAGGTGTCAATGATTGTCTTTTGGACAGCTGTTAAGTCAGAAGTCTTCCCCATGATTGTGGTGCCTTCAAAACAAGACTGAGGGACCTTTTAAAGGCCTTTGCAGGTGTTTTGAGTAAATCAGCTGATTAGAGTGGCAGCAGGTGTCTTCTATATTCAGCCTTTTCAGAATATTCTAATTTTTTGAGATACCAAATTTGGAGTTTTCATTAGTTGTCACTTATGAATATCAAATTTAAATGTAATGAACATTGGAAATACATTGGTCTGTGTGCATTGCATGAATATAATGTACAAGTTTCACGTTTTGAATGGAATTACTGAAATATTTTCAACCTTTTGATGATATTCTAATTTACTGGCCAGCACCTGTATTGTGTTTTCTATTGGGTTGAAGTTGTAAATGTCTAAATGATTCTTCTTTTGTTAAAACTACACACACACAAATATTAAAGACATCTGTATCTGTGCTGGTAGCCACAGGGAAATGAACCACTGGACAGATTTTAACAAGACTTTCAAAGTCATTGGATGTTCATCAAATCCAATTCATGGCCACAGCTCTACTTAACTTAGAATATGCAAAAAATATATATATTACAGCAATGTAACTAAAAGTTGGTGTTTCTTTTTTTTTCAACCTTTGTTTTACCAGGTAAAATGTTTGAGAACATGTTCTCATTTACTAACATGACATGGCCCCTCTCTCTCTCTCTCACACACACACACACACACGAGATTCAAATTTGCATCAGAGAAATAACTGCATTTCCCTTATTTGTTTGAAACTCTGGCCTAAAAGGCAGCAGGTGGTTTGCATCCCTTCAAGAAAAGGCAGGCTCTTAAGCTTTTTGTCATTTCTGTAATAAGTAGCAGCATTAACTGACACAAGCCCAAAATGTGACGTGCAACCACAAACAAGATACACAATGATCTACAACAGAAATGCATGAATAAAAATTTATGCAAAACATGGAAAGAGAAAAACAAAATGCGATTACATCACATGAAGTTGCAAAGACAGTTTCACAATAAGGGATCTGCTCTGACATGAAACAGGACCAGAAGAGGTAGCTGATTTCACTTCTCTATTCAAGCATGGTAGAAATGCAGACCTGTTTGCACACAACGCATTTCAAGATCAAATATAGTTGTACAGACACACAATGTTTACAAATCTTACACATTATGCATTTAGGAGAGCACTTGGAGAAAAATAAATCTTTGCAAGCTCATGTCCACACACCCAGAGGAAAAGCTTTCATCTGGCCACAGGAGAAGACATACTTATTGCCACAACCAATAGGTTATAAAAATGGGGTTTATATGTACATCTTGAAAGTGATCAGCTCCTAGACACGTGTTTAGTGAGAGATGCAAAATGATGTCTGTTTTCTATCATACAAAAAAGGCAACAGAAGAAACAGTTTATTGTACAATCAGCATTTTTACCAAAAAAAAAAAAAAAGGTTAATAAGATGTACAGTGTCAGAACCATATCTGGAGCAAAATGATGAGATCATCTAGTGATGGAGAACTGAGGGATACAGGATCGGAAATGACATTCAAGAATGGAATTCCTGTGTTTGATGTAGCTGTGTTCATGTACGCCTAAATGCATCTGCTCTTGTATTTTAAGCCTTAAACTGCAGTGTGTGTTGGCAGGGAAAGGGGAGTTGCGGGGGGGGGGGGGGGGGGTCAAACTAAACAGAGAGGGAAGGTTGGGAAGGTTAGAGAAAATGCAGAGGAAAGTGGCAGAAGCTCAGTTGGTATAGATCTGACCCTCGGGCGGCTGAGGAAGCTTCATGTTCTCCTTGCACGCCATGAGCCGCCGCAGCTCCAGCAGCACCATCCGGATGCTGTAGGAGTTCTGCCACTTAGCCAGTGCAGTCACCGCATGCATGTCGACCTGCAGGAAACAGCAGCTCAGCAACCCCACCATAAAGTTTATTCCAACCACAACCTTTGGATATTAAAAACCTCAACAGAAACAAGCTCAAAAAGGCACCAAAATCATGTCTCTAAAATTAGAACCTTTAGTTTAAATTAGAATCTAAACTCGATGTCCTTCATCTTTACAATGAACAAGCTGAACCCACAGCAGGATTTACATACCACACCGTTGGAAGTGTGCACTCCATTCAAGTTTATCTTTGTCACAAATCTGACAAATGGTGGTGAGTCTGGGTACCCTGGCCCACATTCTACCTTCAGGTTGTACATCCTGTTTTCATAGCTGGTCTGTGGGCAGAAAGGAGACAGATGAGTGCAAGGTTACCTAAATTTCAACTAACAGCATCCGGTTTTACTTATATGGAATAATAGGTGACATTAGGGTCATTTCCATAAACTTCAGGCTGCTGGAGAGCTCAAAACAAACACGTTAAACCTTATCGGGTGGTAAACTACACAAACAGTTGTACAACAGCCTCTTACAGGCTGACATTTGAGTAACTGTGAAAAGGACGTTACTAACCCTCGGAGGGCCGAGGATCACTCCTCTCCACCGGGTTAAGGTCATGTCCTCATCATCCTCCAGACCCCAGCTCACTGTCCCATCTCCCACACCTTTCTGACCTTCTTCCAGCTCCTCCAGCAGCCGGAAATTGCGGGGGACTCTCACGCCTGTTTGTGGACAAACACAGAAAAGCAGTTACTTCCAACACAACCAGTGCGATCGAGCTGAACCATCTACCGGAGCCATCATGCCTCGGTGACTCATTCTGACACAACGGGGCGGGGTGACAATGCAGGTTTATCCGTGTGTTTCAGAGGAGGAGGAGGCCTCTGGCCCCTGGAGGGAGTGAACAGAACTATCAGAACCCACACAGCCTTCTTTCCTGCTGCAGGTCACCAGCGTCTCCTCAGCCTCGGCCGGGAGTCACTAAACACCCAATTACTGTGGATTAAACAGGCCCGAAAGCGGCACCAGTAACAACAATCGATTACATTTATTAGGCAATGTCAGAAATCCGGTTTATGACATCCGTTTTCAGCTTCAGTAAACAGAATAATGTTGCAGATGAGCTAACGTAGGGCGGCGGTGTTGTGGTTTCCTCAGCCAGCGACACCTAGCTAAACTACAGCTGCTACACTTAACCCAACTACGGTCCTAAAATATCTTCATCATTATACATTTTCATTTTCATCAACTAAGACAACAAAAACAGCAGGGATATTTCGTAATTGGCGCAGCATCTCGCCCTTTGCCCAACTTGACGTTAGCTTGGTGACATCGTTTCCGATTTATTTCTCCAAAGCTTTACTTTAGCTTATGTCACTCCGGCGCACGAGAGCCCCACCTCGACATCAAAACGAACCACCAAACCGTGAGAAACGACGGATAAGTTTTAGAAACAATACGTTTCTGTGTTCATTCTTTCCCATCATTTACCTGATCCGGCGGCCACCGCCATCTTGTCGCTACGCAGCGGGAGCGCCGAGCGCGCACTGTAACTAGCGCTGCCGCTACGTGCGCGAGCCGGAGACGTCAATCATAGCTTCCTTTGTTTCCTGCAGGACGTTCAGGGCGGAATCGGGACGAACATGGCCCCCACGGGGGCTTTCTCTGTCCTGGGTTCAGCAGAGTTACAGCAGGTTAGTCTAAAGCGCCCAAAGGTGTTCTAAAATCGATCCTTTACAAACATGGCGCGTGAGTGGAGCGGCTGCGTGAGGATGCATTACTGAAAAACGAGTCTGGGCTGCCAACAGCTGCTCGTTTACTCCTGCTGCTGTTTAATAATTTAGAAACCTTTTATTTGACCAGTTCTGAGTGTAAACAGTGCTAAAAGCTCTTTTTATCATTTTTACACTTTACAGGCTCTTAAAATGGCAAATGCAATGAAAACACAAATACAAAGTTATTTGTTAGTTTATTTATAAATACACTTTATTATTTACATTGTACATCTTCCAATCGGAAGACAACAGAAGGCATCAAGGCATTTTTCTGATATCCAAAACTTATCTCCACTGGCAGCCTAAACTACTGAACACATCCGTGTGGGTCTTGCTTCGAAAATATGTCATGTGAAAAGGGAAAGAATGAGTCATCCAATAAAATGTTTTCCGGATCCTGGTGGCAATATTTAGTGTAAATCAGGAGAATTGTAAGGCAATTCAATTAAAAGCCTAAGAATCATCACAAGTGACTTCATAAACATGCCCAACAAAACTTCTGAAGAATATTTAGTTACACAACAACACAAATCATCAGATCCACCCATGAGACCTCAAGGTGTCAAAGCACCAATCACTGTTTACTTTTAGAACAAAAGGCAAGGTTGCTTCTGATTTATAGCTACAATGCGACTCAAGTGAATAAACAACTTATAAATATTAAGTAATAGTCTTAATTTTCTTAATGGAGTGTATGTTAATGCCAAATATTTTTATTCTACTACTTGAAACACAATCCTGAGATCCTCTGGAGTTCATCAGGGTTAGAATGATAAGAACAACCAAAAACAGCACTTAGTCATGGTTTGGGTTCCCCTTGAGCTCACCGTTTAAACCATCACCTCAGTCTTTACCATAAACTTAAGTGTAAAGTTCAGCATCCTACCAATTCACAAAAGCACAAAACATACTTAAGTTAGTCTTACTCTTAGAAAAAAACCACACCAAGGTATTAAACTGAGCGCCAAAACATCCAGCGGAGCAAACGGCAAATATCCTATTCAGAAAGCTGTCAGCAAAGCTTCATAAATGAGTCTAAACATCTTTTCCTAATACTGATCCTGAAGAGCTACATGAGCGGAACCTCTGCAGGTCACGGTGTTGTCACACTCCACCTACCTGCTCCTATTACATCTCAAAACTGCCTCTTACAACCAGCAGCATGCAGTGCCCTGCTGCTGTTGACCTATGGGAGATTTGTTGTTCATGATCAAGTATGAAGGAGTCAAAACTTGGAATATTACACAAAACTCTTAACAATAACTCATTATCCGAACAACCGACTGAACAGAAAGATGTCTGCACAGCAAGCCGACCTATCGCATGCATGCACGCTTTCTCGTGACATCATAAAATGTAAAATTGAGTCCAACATGCAGTTTAACCAAGCAGCTTTCTTCAGAAAATATCTGTAAATTAATCTTTAAAAAGGTGTTTAATTTAACCAGATGGTCTGCATAGCTGCCGACTCTGCATTTAATGAAGTATCAAATAAAAACCTTTACCAATTTATTTAATCTAATGGATCAATTCCTACATAGTCTTTTTTCACTAAAGCCCTTCAAACATGACCGTGTAGGTTAGAAGGTACATGATCAGGAATCTTATTGTCCCAAAACCAAGACAGTCCTGAAAAAATTAAAAGGAGCAACGATGTGTCACACACAGCTGGTCTGATTAGGTAAGACATAAAAAGCCAGAGAGACAGAACTACAGACAACAAGAGACACACATGTACTGCATCTGTGGTGTGTAAGGCCACTTAACTGGAGGGAAATGAGAGTGTGTGTGCGCCTCCTCCCTGCAAATTTGCATGTTTACCAGATAAAAACTAGTGCTGATCATCAACGACACACCAAACCAATGCAGCCGCTAGACGATATTTTACTTGATTTTCTAATGGCCTGCATCAGCGCCAAAAGCAGCATCGATGCTACACTTAACAAGTTTAAATCCAGTTTCTTGAGACTTTTTCCTCTTGATTTATGACCTCATTGATTCTTTTCACATCTCAGACTGACAGATCTACCATGAAAGCAATACACGTGACCGTCTTTTTGAAAAAACAATGGTAAATTGTTCATTTTTACCCATCTTTTCATTTATCATCTAAATTGTGCAGAGCGCAACTCAAACGTGCAAGTAGTCAACAAATGTAACAGTAATTGATCAATTTGATCCTAAGCAATCAACATTGATAAAGCATCCAGACTAATCCCAAGTCCAACAACATGATCTTAGTTCCACCCTCCAGAAGACGGAGATCCAAAAAACAGAATCAACTGAAATGTGAATAGCTCCTATAGCTGTGAGCTGTACTTTTCTAGAGGCGGAAAAAATGTGAGCGTATATTCTTCCAAGTGCTTTTTCCCACATTTGTTGGAAGTTTTGGAGATGAGTAGATTCATTTCATCTTCTTTGAGTCATTCGACTAATTCCTTATTAGCTAAATCCGTCAAGGCAATGAGTCGTTTTAGAAAAAGAAAGGATCAGATTAAATTTAGAACACTTGTCACCATTAGAGCCATGAAGAACTCTATAACAAAGCCCTCCTATATGAAAAACATGAAATCAAAAAGTGTGCAAGACTTAAAGCTATGGCATCAGGAAGCGTTAGTTTCATCCTGTGGGTTACAGTTTAAGTGAGGCAAGACAAGAAGCCTGGGCAGAGCCAGAGATGTCTGAGGTAGGATGCAGTTAGCCTGCAGAGTTACTTCAATTTCTGAGCCCATTTCATGTCGTCTGCTCTGGGCTTCTCCCCCGTCACGCTTTGGATCAGATCCTCCAAAGTTCTCCAGAAACCCAGCTTCTCCAGAGGATAGTTCAGCCAGCCTGGAGAGAAGATAACAGCTTAGTAAGTCTGGAGACTTCATCTTCCCTCTCTGAGGAACTACAGACCAACCTGTCGTGATACAGAAGTACGTCTCATGGGGGGAGACGTGATGGATGCGGTGGTGCTTGCGAGGAAGGATGATGTGGCAGTCCTGCAGGAAGACCACCCAAAAAGGAAGGCCGAAGTACGTGTGCGACCACTTGTGAATCTGGTTGGTGAGGGTTACAAAGATGGCCAGCGCAAACAGGTAGCAGTACCAGGGGTAGATATGGTAAACCTCAGCTGAAAGCAAGGAAATGATTTATGATGATTTATGTGGTGTCTCTGAAGGATTAGTCCTGGTGTGACAGCATTCAGTTGGTCCAAAACTCACCAGGGGAGAGGGTGAGGAAGTTGAAGGCCATTGTTGCCAGAGGGACGATGGTCAGCATGCAGTTGTCCCCATTGGTCTCGATGAAGTCGTGCCGGGTGATGGCTGTGGGGTCTATGTGATGCTCTCTGAATGGACGGATGAAAGCCTTCAGGACAGAAAAGGAATGTATTATGGAAATGTTTCATTTCATAAACAGTACACGAGAGGTGAAAACTCAGTGTGAAACAGCATGCCTTCCCAAAGATGGGTAGATCCACCGATCCCCACGTATCGGCCCCCCAGTGAACGAGGCCCGATGCAAAGTCAGCAGTGAGTATTCCTGCCACTGAAAAAGGAACAGAGTAAAAGACCGAGACAGTCCAACATCGTCCCATCCTCTAACGCAGGAGTCTTACCAATGCCCAACAGGATGGACCACGAATGTCCCAGATGGAAATTGGCAAGAAGGTGAATGAAGTTGAAGGCCATGAGAGAGAAGCAAAGGATGACGCTGATCCATTCTTGACATCTTTTGCCTTACAGGAGAAAACACATAAAGGAGGATGTAGAAAACATTTCTGATCAGAATAGTTGTCCAATTGTGTCCCCAGTCCCTCCACATCTCCTGATCCAAAATGAAGATGTCCAAAGGTTACAGATCTTATCAGATCCTCCTATAAACGTCTCAGGGTGATGACACACGTCTGCTCCTCCTACGCTACTTGACGTTTAGGGAGCAGCTGGGCTTGAAACACCTGTCCACATCCTACAAGTCAAACAATTTGAACCATTTAAAAAATAAACTGAAGGAGAAGGTATCCCTGCTACAGTTTGCTCAGTCTCAACTCATACCAGGAGCACAGAAACCATAGTGCTTATTTTAAGGGCGTGTTGTCCGTTCCGGTTACACACTTCACCAGTCTGGAGAAAAGGTGAGCTTAAAACCGCCAGGATCACTATTTACAGGTGAGGAAGTGGAGTTGAGTCTACAGGTCGGGGCTTAGGAGTCCAGCAGCAGCAGCTTTTCTAACCCCCAAATGTCAAAGCAGCAGAAAAGTCCAAAACAAATGCATCCAGTGAGTCTCACATGATTCCTATTGTGTAACAAACAGCAGCACCGAGGCTGCCGCAAACAACTCACTACTGATGACACCGTAGCGCGCTCGTTTGCTGCTTTCGTGGATTTTCACTTAATTTCTTGGTAACTAACTAGAGCCAGTCCTGGTTATGTCACGCAACGCTCCTGCGCGCCCGAACCGGTTGGAGCGAACCCAGAGAAGACCGGGCAGCTTACAGGATCCACTCACCTGGCGAGTACAAACCGGCCAGTTCTCGAGCACCCGCGTGTTGGGGACCCCATCGAGCCGAGCCCCGGCCCGGTTCCTGCGGCTGCGTGGGCTCCGCTGCTACTCCACACCCGTTCTCGGTAACCTCACTCGCCATTTCTCCGTTGTGGGCCCGGCCCCTTCAACCCTTCTTGTCAGGAACCAACTGAATCGCCAAATTCTCAGCTCACAAACAGTTCCATAATTTTAACCAATCAAATGTAAGAATCGGAGTAGAACAACCAATCACAGCGCAGAAATTTGTTCCGTATTCTGCCTACTAACCAATGGGAGCGGAGATGGTTGAGGGTGCACTGTTACTGCATTTCCTGGCCCCACCCCGGTCTCCTGCTAGTGTCCTAATCTGCCACTAGATGGCGCCGTGGTGCTAGAAACCACCTAAAGGCAGATTTGTCAACAAAGAAAAATGTTTCTAAACAAACTTTAAATCATTTTTAAAACGCCTCGACTCTCAACAGTAAAGTTCGTCAAACTGTGACAAAAAGGTATGCAGTTGTGAATGTTACTGATTAGTCGTGTATCTCCACGCAGATGACATCTAAAATAATTCAAATCCCAGGTAAAATGCATGATTGCAAATTAAATTGTTAAGCATTGATCATCAAGGCTACACTATGATTATGTATCTGTGTTTGAGCTAGCAACCCTTTACTCTGACTCTGTAGATTAGAAAAAGCTATGCAATGTAAATAAAAAGAAACTTTCCAATATACAGTCAGGTCCACAAATGTTGGGACATCGACACAATGCTAACATTTTTTGGCTCTATACACCACCACAATGGATATCAAATGAGATGAACAAGATGTGCTTTAACTGCAGAATGTCAGCTTTTACTTGAGGGTATTTACATCCAAATCAGGTGAACGGTGTAGGAATTACAACAGTTTGCATATGTGCCTCCCACTTGTTAAGGGACCAAAAGTAATGGGACAATTGGCTTCTCAGCTGTTCCATGGCCAGGTGTGTGTTATTCCCTCATTATCCCAATTACAATGAGCAGATAAAAGGTCCAGAGTGCATTTCAAGTGTGCTATTTGCATCTGGAATCTGTTGCTGTCGACTGTCAAGATTAGATCCAAAGAGCTGTCACTATCAGTGAAGCAAGCCATCATTAGGCTGAAAAAACAAAAGAAACCTATCAGAGAGATAGCAAAAACATTAGGCGTGGCCAAAAAAGAGTTTGGAACATTCTCAAAAAGAGGGAACGCACCAGTGAGCTCAGCAACACCAAAAGACCTGGAAGACCACGGAAAACAACTGTGGTGGATGACTGAAGAATCCTTTCCCTGGTGAAGAAAACACCCTTCACAACAGTTGACCAGATCAAGAACACTCTCCAGGAGGTAGGTGCATCTGTGTCAAAGTCAACAATCAAGAGAAGACTCCACCAGTGTGAATTCAGAGGGTTCACCACAAGATGTAAACCATTGGTGAGCCCCAAAAACAGGAAAGCCAGATTAGAGTTTGCCAAACAACATCTAAAAAAAGCCCTCACAGTTCTGGAACAACATCCTATGGACAGATGAGACCAAGATCATCTTGTACCAGAGTGATGGGAGGAGAAGAGTATGGAGATGGAAAGGAACTGCTCATGATCCTAATAATGGCAGACAGTTGGTGTCGTAAACCACCGCCTGTGTTCAAAGATGGTTGCTTACAGTGGACATAAATGGCTTCCTTTACTCCTCTTTCAAACCATCTGTCCTCTCTGTCCAAAATGTGAACGTTGGCATCCTCGAAAGAGTGACTTTTGTCCTTTAGATGCAAATGAACTGCTGAGTCCTGTCTCATGGAGGTGGCTCTTCTATGTTGTGCCATGCGCTTGTGAAGTGGCTGTTTGGTTTCTCCGATGTAGAGGTCTGGGCATTCCTTGCTGCACTGTACAGCATACACCACATTGTTCAGTTTGTGTTAGGAGTTTTGTCTTTCGGGTGAACCAGTTTCCGTCTGAATGTGTTGCTGGGTCTAAAGTACACTGGTATGTTGTGTTTGGAGAAAACCCTCCTGAGTTTCTCTGATACACCAGCTACATGGGGGATGACAAGGTTGTTGCGTCTGTCTTTCTTATCCTCCCTCGCTGGTGTCTGGTCTTCTTTTCTGTGCATCTTTGCTGACTTTATAAACGCCCAATTAGGATTGCCACATGTTATAAGTGATTCCTTTATATGTGTGTGTTCCTTCTTTTTCCCTTCCGGCTTAGAGGGAACATGACATAGACATAGACACAGACATAATTCCTACACTGTTCACCTGATTTGGATGTAAATACCCTCAAATAAAAGCTGACAATCTGCAGTTAAAGCACATCTTGTTCGTTTCATTTGATATCCATTGTGGTGGTGTATAGAGCCAAATGTTAGCATTGTGTCGACGTCCCAATATTTATGGACCTGACTGTAAATAAGAAACAATTAAAATGTTTAAAAAATACTTTAAACATTTCAAATATTATCTAATCATATCTAAAGAATAAATTTCCGAGGTGATATTTTTGTGAATGATTTTTTTTCTCTAAACAGATTCCAGAAGGAGAAGAGGTGGACAGGTGAAGAGTGTGACTGGCTGATGGGATCATTACATCTGAACAGGTAAAGATCTGATCGAATAAACTCATTTAAATCTGTCACAAATAAAAACACTGGCAGAACAGAAACATAGCAAAAACTAATGTTCTCAGCTGACAGAGCTCTGTTGTAAATTACAACTCAAATGACTCACATAGCATGCTAAGTGTTTATAAAGCAACTCTTTTCTTTAACCTTGTGAAAATCCAAAGATCCCAGTGATTCACAACAACTCCTGCATGTGTGTGCCAGTCCAAAGGATAACTGATCTGTCAAGGAAACCAAATCAAAGCTCTTGTGTTTCTGGGTGTGATAACTGAAGATCTTAACAGGATTTATATAAAGGTCTGTGAGGACAGCTGAGTCATGAAGATGCAGCTGTTCTATTTTTATTTTTTATTTTTTTACAACAAATAACTCTGTTGTTGTTTAAACAGGATTTCACAAGTTAAAAATGGAAAAGACTCAAACTGAAACGGCTCCTTAAGTAGGCTAAAGGTGTACAGATTGGTCTTAGTCAGGTAAAGCACCATGGTGCTTTACTAAAACGTGCTTATCCAAACTATCAAATGTTTCTGGAACACACCTTTAAAAAGGGAAGTCTTTACATTTAATATGTGCAAACGTTACCAAACAGCAACAACAAAGTGTCCACAGAGAGAGCATGGACGTAATTTTGGGGGGGGGGGGGGGGGACAGGGGGGACATGTCCCCCCCACTTTTTCCAAAGTCAAGTTTTGACCCCTGCACTTTTTACCATCCAAAAACATTATTACGCTATATTAAATTGACACTGGTTGAGCTCTAGGACCAAGCGGAAAACAACCGTTTGTGTTGAAGCCTGTTTCCCATTAGAACATACTGTAAAGATACCCCCCCCCCCCCCCCAACCCCCGTGTCCCCCCCACTTCTAAAGTGAAAATTACGTCCTTGAGAGAGAGAAATTACTGATGTCCTACCAAGCCCCCATAATGCGGAAGTGGAATAAATTGCAGTTCCACCCTCATCCGCTGGGGGCTGGTGTCAGAAGGGAGCAAATCCTCATTGACTCCCATGTTAATGCCAATTTCACAGCAGAAATAAACATGTTTTTGGTTTAAATTATCTAGTTTACACTCATGACAACTCTGAGGGGGGTGAATTTTTTTCTCACTCTTTTATTTAAGTGTATTAAAAGCCTAAAATTCTGTATAATTAACGAGCATCAGACCCACGTGACCACAGAGCTAGCTCCGGGGAAAGGCCTCAGTCTGAGCCTCGGCCTCGCCTGAAAACTGTTCAGTCATTTTCAGTCTTTCAACCTGGACCATTAGTTGTAGCGTTTGTGCGTTCTTTTTTGGATATAATTTGTGCAATTTTTGGACAAAATGACTTGCGGTGGCATTAATTGCACTAATAGAACGTCCAAGGAGTCTCCACTTCATTTTTTTCGGTAAGTAAAATTATATTTATGTATTTTAGGTCACTGCCGAGCTTAGATTTTAACATGTACTGTTTAACCATGAAATTTAAATGTAATAGGGTAAAACCCAGTGCATTTAACATAATGCTGCACTTTAGAAAATGGTTTGAAATATAATATGTTGGTGGAGCTGGGTTCCGACTATCGGCTTTTGGAACTCTCGGGAGACAGATGTTTTCCACCTGGTTCGCCCCACCCCGCAGCTCGGCGCATCTCTGTCTGATCGCGGCTTCTGTCTGCTGCGCGGGCTGCCGGCTTTCAGCAGCTTTCGGGAGACCTCTGTGTTCCACCCGGTTTTACCCAGCGGTCAGCCCAGCGTATCTCTGACTCAGAAGCTCTGGTGTTGTGCACAGTTAACGCCGGTTGTAGCTAGGTTGCTACCTCCGTTAGCTTAGCTCCCACTTCCACGTTAGCTTTGGGTTAGCTTCAGGTTAGCTTGTAGCTAGTTCGACCGGGTGTCGTCAGTTGATCCCAGCCTTACAGCCCCACCCTCAGCTCCACCTCTCTTCCCTTTTGTGGAATTGTCTGGGCTTGACGGAACCTGTGACACGGTCAAAATGGCGGTGATGACCACCTCCCATTTTTCTTCAAAAACGTGTTGTTGGAGCCTATGGAAACCCATTGTCCATATATGTATATGTCGACGTGTCCTACCCACCTCTTACCTGTTACCTGTTGGGTTTGACACCAGCCACCAGCTAACCTCCCAGAGAAGGAGGAGTGAGAGAAACTAATGCATCCTCACCTCTGCCAAGTCTCAGTTACAGTGAAGCAGCTGTAGATTGTGTTTTATGTAAGGTGTTATGGCAGCTCCTTCATTTTTTTTTACTATTTTTAACCTTTAGGATGCTGCTGCCTTGACAGTGGGCATATGTGTGACAGCCTGGTTTGGATTTATACATTTGTTTTAATTGTGTTAAAGTGGTTGGTAGTAAAACTCAAACGTGAGTCAACATACCAGTGCGTGTCATGGAAAATAAGCTCTGGTGACGTGTCTCTTCACAGTGCTGAAGAATTAGAAAACATGTCTGACCACATTCTGATTGCTGGTTAAAATATCCTCCTACCTGATACCAATGTCCAACAGGGGTTGGTGCAGCTGACAGGAATGTCGCAGATAAAAAAAAGCAAACATTATTTAGCTCCTCTGAATCCGAGACCATCTTAAGTTGGAAAAGGGTAGAATGCTTTCTCCGGGTCAGGGATGAGGTCCTGCCTTAAGTGGTGGAGTCTAAGTATCTTGGGGTCTTGTTCACGAGTGAGGGAAAGATGGAGCACGAGATCGATAGGCGGATTGGTGCTGCATCTGCAGTGATGCGAGTGTTGTACCGATCTGTCGTTGTGAAGAGAGAGCTGAGCCGGAAGGCAAAGCTCTCGATTCACTGGTCAATCTACGTTCCAACTCTCACCTATGGTCACGAGCTTTGGGTAGAGACCGAAAGAACGAGATCACAGATATGAGCAACTGAAATGAATTTTCTCCGTGTGGTGGTTGGGTTCTTCTTGGGCTTGGTCATGCGGTAGGGGCTCGGAGTAGATCCACTGCTCCTCCACATCAAGAGGAGCAAGTTGAGGTGGCTTGGGCATCCGGTTAGGAAGCCTCATGGATGCCTCCCTGGTGAGGATTTCTGAGCACGTCCAACCGGGATGAGATTTAAAGGAAGACCCAGGACATGCTGGTCGGACTATGTCTCTCGGCTGGTCAGGGAACGCCTTAGGATTCACCCCAGAGGAGCTGGCCCACGTGGCTGGGAAGAGGGAAGTCTGGGCCTCTCTGCGTAGACTGCTGCCCCTGTGACCCGACCCCGGATACGCGGATGAAAATGAATGGATGAACGGACATTACCATCATTTGATAATTTCTAAAAAAGGTAATCAAATTCTATGGAATTATTTGCCAGACATTTTGGTATTGCAAGCTGGGATTGTTTGTCACGACACAGTGCCTCTTTATTAGGTACAGATGTTTAATAACATGTTAACACAAGTCCCAGTAACATGGCTGCAACTCAGTGCATTCACACATCTAGATGTGAAAGAGACGATTTGCTGAAGGTCAAACTGAGCATCAGAATGGAGAATAAGAACCACAACATCTGCTCCAGATGGACTCCATCAGCAGAAGACCACAACAGGTGTCTCGCCTGTTAGATAAGAACCAAAAACTGATGCTACAATTCACACAACATCACCAGAACTGGTCCAGAAGAGACTGGAAAACCTTTCCTGGTCTGATGAGTCTGGGTTTCAGCTACATTCAGATGGTTGGGTCAGAATTTGGTGTCACCAACATGAAAGCATGGATCCATCCTGCCTTGAATTAAATGTTCGGATTGTTACTGCTGGTGGTATAGTGGTGGTAGGAGGAGATGTTCTGGCCCCACCTGAGGCTGATTTAAACACCACAGCCTACCTGAGTACTGTTGCTCACCATGTCCATTCCTTTATGACCACATGGACCCATCTTCTGGTGGCTACTTCCAGCAGGACCATGCACCATGTCACCATATCTCAGATGGAAACATCTGTTAGATGTTAAATCTGTTTGGTTACTGACCAGAACTTCTGATGTATGCTTCCAAAACCTTGCTGAGTTGCTTACGTGAAGAATTAAAATTCTGAAGTGAAATGGAGTCCAACCTGGTACTGACAGTGTGTACCTAATAAAGTGGTCAGTGTGTCTGAGTGTGGCTGACTGAAGCTCCTCTGGTCAGTGAGGGTGCTTCACACAGATAGATGAAAAAAACAGACACTATTATATTTCCAAATAAAGATAAAGAATTGTGTAAAACACAGATGTTCCCTCTGTGTGGAATATTATGTGTCCTATAAGCAATAAATAGTTATAATAATAATATTTATAAAAAATCAATATAATCTCTATCTCTCCACTTGGAGAAATAAAGGTTAGTTCTGACCAAGGAGATCACAAAACAGTTCTAATCGTATTGACTTTGCAGCAGTTCATGCTAACACTGCATCATAATGTTTACATTACCACTAATTCTACATGTCAGGGTAATTCCGTCAGATGTTTTATTACATTCAGGCTCATTTCTACTGTAAAAAGCCTCATAATCATTAACAGTTTAAACTGAAATGTGAGGAAATAGAAAAGGTTATGGAGTATTTAGAGGAACTTCTGTGAAAACCTTTACATTGTTTATAGACCAGTTGTAACTGCTGGAGACCAACCTCCAAGAATTCATCTCCTCTTCTCCACACTGAAGCCTTGTCAAAATATTTGTACACCCTGCTTTAAGATTATTAAACATGACTCCACAAGGTGGCAGTGCGGTTCAGAAAATTAATGAATGAATGTTGTCATCACCACCTATAATAAAATATTATATTTTCATAACTAAATGGTTTTCCCAATTTAAAATGTGTACGTTTATGTTTTGCACACTGCTCAAAAAATTAAGAGTACGCAAGAATAATCCTTGAGCTGAATTAATTAAAATTTCGTACTTTGTTCTTTACATCGTTATATGTGCGGACAACAAAATCACACTAAAATTATCAATGGAAATCAAATGGAAGTCTGGATTTGGAGTCACACTCAAAATTAAAGTTGAAAAACACATAACAGGCTGATCCAACTTTGATGTAATGTCCTTAAAACAAGCCAAAATGAGCCTGTATGACCTCCCTACAACACCTGGGCATGCTCCTGATGAGGTGGCAGATGGGATCTCCTCCCAGACCTGGACTAAAGCATCCGCACAGTCCTGAACAGTCTGTGGTCCGAAATGGAGTTGGTTAATGGAGCGAGACATGATGTCCCAGATGTGCTCAACTGAATTCAGGCCCTTGGAACAGGCGGGCCAGTCCATATAGCATCTTGTGCCTTTGTCTTGCAGGAACTGCTGACACACTCCAGCCACATGAGGTCTAGCATTGTCTTGCATTAGGAGGAACCCAGGGCCAACTGCACCAGCATATTGCCTCACAGGGGCTCTGAGGATCTCATCTTAGTACTCAATGGCAGTTAGGCTGCCTCTGGCGAGCACATGGAGGGCTGTGTGGTCCCACAAAGAAATGCCACCCCACATCATTACTGACCCACTACAAAACCGTTCATGCTGGAGGATGCTGCAGGCAGCAGAACGTCCTCCACGGCATCTCCAGACACGGTCCTGTCTGTCACATGTGCTCAGTGGGAACCTGCTTTCATATGTGAAGGGCACAGGGCGCCAGTTGTAAATATGCCAATCTTAGTGTTCTCTGTTAAATGTCAAACATCCTGCACGGTGTTGGGCTGTAAGTACAACCCCTGCCTGTGGATGTTGGGCCTTTGTACCGCTCTCATGGAGTCTGTTTCTGACCAGAGGTCATTCTGCAGGGCTCTGGCAGTGCTTCTCCTGTTCCTCCTTACACAAAGGTGGAGGTAGTGGTCCTGCTGCTGGGTTGTTGCCCTCCCTGGAGCCACCTCCATGCTCTGGACACTACGCTGACAGACTCAGTAAACTTTCTTGCCACAGCTCGCATCTTTGTACCATCCTGGATGAGCTGCACTACCTGAGACACTTGTGTGGGTTGCAGACTCCATCTCATGCTACTACTAGAGTGAAAGCATTCAAAAGTGACCAAAACATCATCCATCATCCAGAAAGCAGAGGAACTGAGAAGTAGTCTGTGGTCACCACCTGCAGAACCATTCATTTTTTTGTTTGCCTATAAATTCCACCTGTTGTCTTTTCTGTTTGCACAACAGCAGTGAAACTGCTTCTCAGTCACTGTCACTGGAGTTACATTGTGTTGTTTAAGTGTTCCTTTTATTATTGTTGAGCAGTGAACTTATATATAGATTTACATATCTGGATTTTTACACATATTTAAAATGTTAATACTTAGTAATTGTTGCATTGGTGTTTTTGTAAACAAAAGTCTTTCGTTGAGTTTTATCAAGTTTATCAGATTCTAGCTTCTACTGCAGCCAGAATTAAGGACTTGAGGAGAGCTTGTGTCAGATCTCATTTTTTGTCGAGGCAGCAGATTTTTCAAGACCCACAAAGCAATCACAGACATCTTCTAGGGCACATATAAGTCTTTCGCCTTAAACCAGACAGACTGGCTTCCTCTGACGCCCACCCTGGCCTTTGTACAGATTTAGACATGCATCATGAGGAGGTCCACTGCACTTTAATTGGCACGTATATATGCTGGAAGTTGTGGGGCACCAGATTTCTAAATGAAATGAGTCTGTGGCTGCTTTGAACATCAGTGATGTTGTTACTATAAACTTTAAAAAGATAAACACGTTGGGTTTTTTCCAGACGCGTGCAGCAGGGGGCGCGCTTGCATGACGGTGTAAACTGGAATTTTATTTTTTACTTTTTATTTGACTTCTGATATCAGCTCCCATTCATCAGCCAAAGCTGCTTTTCTCCTTTTTGTTCTGCTGCTAGAATTTTATTATAGCCTTCATCTGGTGCGCACGTACATAAAAACTAAAGCAAGTTTTATTTTGTTGTTCGGTGTTTTATTGTTGTTGTTTTGTTTTGTTTGTTTATTTCATCGTGACAAAATACTTTAAATAGCATGCGGACGGGAAAGAATCTTCTCCGCACGGTACAGGTCGGTTCTGCTCTGCGTGACACACCTGCCAAGTTAAGCCCCGCCCCCACCCCTAATAAAACCCCTCCTGAGACAGGAAGATCTGTCAATTCCTCCCAATCCAAGAGCTCCCGCGTAGTAGGAGCTGCGTGTTTCTACGGGTAGTGACCGAGGAGGTTTAAACTCTCTGCATTCCGACGCATTTCACAACTGAGGCAGGAAAACCAGAACCAGCCAGGGCGTCCCACCTCAGCCCGACGTGCTCCTGCACTCCAGCGGGTGTTGAGATCCATGGAAGTGGCCGGCTTGTACGAGGAGGGCAGCTTTGCTATCCACGGTAGAGACGGCTTCATCGGACCCATCGGCGGAGGCTCTTACTGGAGGCTGGGCGACTCGATGACGGAGCTGGGTCTGGGGGAGCGGGAGAGAGCCATAGACTTCAGCGTTTACCTGGACTCCGCTTTGCACTGCCCGCAGCTGGCGGCGCACACGCAGCAGCAGGGGGACGCCTTCTCTGATTTCCTCGGGGAGAACAAGATCAAAAGACTCGCAGCTTTCCAGAACTATAAGAATTACTCGCTGCTGAGCGAGCTGGAGGCGAGCCAGTGCGAGGGTGCGAGGGAGCCCAGGGATCCGTACGCGCTGGGTTACCCCGAGCTGCAGGAGACCCGTGTGGACAGCGTTCTCAGCCCGGATCTGGTGGCCAGCCGTTACCGAGCCGCCGCTTCCACCGAGAGAGAAGACAGTCCGGAAGACGCAAAGATGGAGAACGGGTCATCTGGGTTTGACATGAGGTCCTACCTTCATTACCAATCCACCAGCGGAAGTATTGGAAACATCTCCACTGCGTCCTCGACCTGCTCCAGCCCGCCTGGCACACCTGCCCCGTCAGGTAAAAGCAGGTCACCGTCGCACGGTGGAAAGTCGTCTGGCGGGAAGGCGAAGAAGCGCCTGGACAAGGACAGTGAAGAGTACCGGCTGAGGAGGGAGAGGAACAACCTGGCAGTGAGGAAGAGCAGGGACAAAGCCAAGATGCGCAACTTGGAGACGCAACACAAAGTGCTGGAACTGGCTGCGGAGAACGATCGTCTACAGAAACGCGTGGAGCAGCTGTCCAGAGAGCTGGCCACCCTGCGCAACCTGCTCTCCGCCACCGGACAATGTTAGAACTCCCCACCTCCATCCCCCGGGGATACCGCATGGATATCTCCCCCCGGATCCCCTCGCTGCTTGCCTGACAGACTTAACGGCGCAAGAGGCGACCCACTGTGCTGAAAACGGTACTCTGTAAACAGACCGCCAGTTTACATGGACACTTTGAATGAGACTGAACAAGTGGCTGCATGGATTGCGCAACCATTACGCGACTTTTCACTTGTCCTCATAGCTTTATTCTCAGATGTAATTTTAGTGTATGCAGTATTTCTGTGCAGGTTTTACATTACCAGTGAATTTCTACATTTTGTGTACACTGTATCTGCAGCAATGGCTGTCAGGGGAAGAGTTGTGCTGCAGTGAAATGATGCAACTCTTTGTAATAGTATTGGCAATGAATGAAATAGTCTAATTATTTAATATTAAAAGGTGAAATGCTTTAATTGTTCTTGATATTTTATTGAATTAAAGAGATTTATACTTTGTTTAAACTATTTCACTTCCCTTTTCTTCTTTTTTTGTCCCTTTCACCATGGATCGTGCATCGTTCACCGTCATCATAGACTGTGTAATACCATGTTTTGGGGTTACGACACACTGCAGATAAGAAATCACCTCGATGATAAGCAAAATGTGCACATTTAAATGTCAGGCTATGATGAAATCAAACAAAGCACCATGAGATTTTTCTCTTTGGAACAGCTAATTTAGAAAATAGTCACATGGGCCCACACAAAACATCACTCATTAAAATTTTTTTATTGAGATTGTGCATTAAAGTTGCCTGATCAACTCACACACTTAATCATAAAATAAAATGGGCAAAGACTTTGTTTCAAAATGATTAATCAAAATCAGTTTTTTATAGTTGCACTATATGCTTAATATCATGTTTGGTTGTTGTAATTGAGGGCTTGACTCCAAAAGTACACAGATCCTTAAATAAATGTGACAGATTTATACTGAAACGATACTGCTGAGAGCAGCAGAAAGGTCTTGGTCACTCTGCACGCAGCACAGAAATGGTAGCTTTATCTTTAGCACACAGTTCTGTCAATAGTCTGCTGGGTCCACCGGCCCAGAAAGGGGTTCAAGGTCGCCTGGAAATTAATGAACAACTAACCTGCTCACACTGGAACAGCCGAGACCTGGCGGGCGGTGATGTGTCTGAAACCTGAGCAAACCTCGGATAACCCTCACGTGGGAAACGTGCAGCACGACATTTCACCTGTCCACACTAGACTGTGGGTTACAGCAGAGGCTGCAGATAAGCTGAACTGTGGAATTTACCAACTACTCAGACTGCATTTGCCTGCGTGTGCAGCCTGAATCATATCTAAGCTAGCTAACCTCAGAAAGAGCAGATAAACACAAGGAGCATGTTGTGATTTGTTGTGGGGAATGTCTTCCAGCTGAAAAGTTTCACATTTGTCCTCAGATGGCACAACGAGGAGTCGCATTGTGTTCCTTTAATGGGGCGTGAACACAGAGTTGTGCTGTTTGTGCACAAGAAATGACATTTTAAACGTTTCAACACAGCTAGTGATGAACTGGAGAGTTCTAGCTGTTGTGCAACATCCTCCCTTTCCAAACACATCACTACCAGAAGAATGCTACACCCACTTTAGAAACAGACATCATTGTCCTCGGTCTGGAAGACAATAAGTGTGAGGAGTGTGTGCCAGTAGGTGTTCAGGAATAGATTGTGAAATCCAAGCAATCTCAGAATAAAAGTCAAGTTTCACATAAGATTTCCCATTTCTGGATGCTGTCAGTCCCTGGCACAGATTCATTCAAACATGGACATTCCTTCTTCGACGGCCTAATCCAGCCACAAGCACTCCTACTCCACTTCCAGATCCCATGCTGACAGGAAAGAGGGAAATTCCCACACAGGATGACCTCCCGTCTTCAGAGTTTAGCCCGGCCCTCTTTCCGTGTTTTACCGTCAAAGGGTAGTGCCTGTCTGTAAAACGTATTGCATCACACACACACACACACACACACACACACACACACACACACACACACACACACACACACACACACACACACACACACACACACACACACACACACACATACACACGCATGCACGCACACACACACACACACTCCACCTGCCATCCTATTGTCGTCTTTAGTTGTGAAATAAAGTTTTCCACATGTGACTCATACTAATTTGTTCTTCAAACACTTTACTTCTATTGTTGCAGTGATTTAGAAACACGATGTCCACATAACTCTCAGCCGCTGTTTTCATAACTAATTAAATTAATGAAGGCATCATTAGGCAACACTTAATTACAGACTCCTCCATTATTCTTAAATATAAAGTTACATCATTAAACCTGAAGCTTTCTGGGTTTGACGGTCAAGAACATGTATGATCGATGAAACACGATTAACATGAATGAATAGTGACTGTTCGTGGTGTGGAGGGCGGTGTGGGTTTAAGAGATGGGACTGGAGCGTGATGCTTCCTATCAACAGCAGGATCATCCTAATCTGTGGAGCACCTTTCCTGCACAAACAAGATCACTTTAAGTCTCTCCCTCTTCTCTCTGGATTTCAGACCCTTGCAGGATTTCCAGTGTTTACTGTTGTTTTTCTTGGTGCTCATATTAACTGTTGATTCACAAACTAACGATTCTGTGTTTTAGACTTTGTCCAGCTAGATTCATTTTTCCTGGAGTAGACTGACCGGGTTTGTTCGGTTTCAAACTGAATCAAAGCTCAAAACAATAACAGAAGTTTGTGTTTTAGTTTCTTTAAATGCTGCCAGCAGAAAGTGCTCCCTCTGGTTTAGATCAAGGTTTGTTTCTATCATTGTATCTCAAAGGTTTCCTTTTGTTTTGTAAAGCTTTACAGGAATATTAACATGGGATCGTTTATTAACTGCAGAATTTAATGGTAGTTTTGCTGGAATAACCATAAAGTAGGAACCTTTTTGGAATGCAAAGGTAATAAAATAGCATCTGAGGTGGTTTCCTGCAGGATAACATCACCTTCATCCATTTGGTTTGTTTTCCACAAAACTGTTACAAGAAAGAGCTGAAATGTACAGTTTCATTTTCACAGAGCAATTTCCAGTAAAACCCTAAAGCAGACGGGTCCTGTAACATCACACACACACACACACACACACACACACACGTCATGTCATGCTTTGTATGGTGGAGCTGGTCTTTGTTGACATAGAAATCTAAACACAACTTTCAGCTGTTTGGATGTTTGTGTGATTATAAATCAGTGACTTTTTACTGAAATGTCCTTTCCTCAGATAGATTTTGACAAAGAAAACTAAAACAAATTTTGTCCTTAAGAAACACTTAAAGGTGTCCAGGAAGCTTTAACTCTTATGACTGTATCTGCTCTCTCTGCCGTTGGGTCATCAGCGCAATTCTAGTTTTCAAAACTGGCGGTCATTTAGATTTTTGGTTCCTCTTGATAAGATCTATTTTGACATGTTGCTAAAAAAATGTCCTAATTGTGTTTAATTTTACTAACTGAAATGTGTGATCATCACTTCCTGTTTAGAAAACTTTTTCTAACATGTGTTCTGTGTCATATTAAAGTGGGCTTTGCTTTCCAAGATGAATAAAATCCTTTAAAACTGAAATGTTTGTGCAGTAGAAACAGGAAACCTTTATTTTTTATGTTTGCCAGTATTCTGAACAATTTCATTATTTACAATTAAAAAATACATGCTAATTGATTTGTAGATTTGGGAAATGTATAGACATGCAAAGGAACTTCCTGTTATGACTTTTCACAGATGTTTTTATATGTTCTAAATGATAAACAGGGATTTCCACAGCCCTTAGAACAGGGGTGTCAAACTCATTTTAGCTCAGGGGCCACATTGAGGGAAATCTAGTCACAAGTGGGCCGGACCGGTAAATAAAAAAAAACTTCAGATTGTTTTCTTTGTTTTAATACAATCAATATAAAACAAGGCTGGAGTCTGAGGACAGTGTATCCAAAATAGTACAAGAACAACACCTGAAGTGTACTTGAAAATTTGAAATAAATAATAGAATAAAAAAATAAAAAAAAAACATTCCTTAGTGATTCAAAGAGCTTACAGATCACATGGCTAGATGAGTTTCATGCAGCACTTAAAGTATATTTGACTCATTTTACTTTACATCTTTTAGCTTTCACCAGCACATCAATATCAGAAGTCACATCCTGAGTGGCGGCCAACTTCAGGATGTGATTCAAGTTCTTGTGTGAGCCTTGAGCGCAGCTTTGTTTTATTTATACTCATTACAGAGAGAACTTGCTCACAAAGATAAGTTTATTTTCACTCTACATTGTAAAGTATGAAAATAAAGTTTACACAACCATCTCGCGGGCCGGATTTAACCTGCTTGCGAGCCGGATCCGGCCCACGGGCCGCATGTTTGACACCCCTGCCTTAGAATAACTAAACACTATCAGCCAGGTCATCCTTTGCTGTTTGACCCTGAAAATGAGATACTCATCAGCATTTTTCAGGATGTTCTGAATTTTCTCAGTTTTGTGTTTGAGTGCACATGTTTACATATTTACCTCTGAATTCTTAACGTCTCTGGGGTTTAGTTTAAACCTCAAATTTTTTTAAATTTAAGACGTTACTGACAAACAAAGATTTTTGTCAGGTGCACGATTAAAGTATCCTTATAGCTTCTCATGCAGGTTTAATGACTGAATGTAGCAAAATTTGTCTTTTTTAGCCACATTTAAATCAGAGTAGAGCTGTCCGGACCTACAGTATGTTTGGATGCTGTGAACACAGAGATTTCGTTTTTTTATCATTTCAGATCTGCGTTAAGTTAAAGGCGTGCCGGATATCCAAGTCGGGCTTGTGACGGGAACCCGGGAGGCCTGAGATACGGTAAGTGAACTAGAACATGATCTGTCTTGAAGTGAACCAGGATTTCAACATCTTGGTTCACTTCTGCTTTTTTTGCTGTACATGACTGTGAAAAAGACAAAACTGATGTGCAGAAGTAGCTTGTGGTCAGTACACAGCAAATATCACTGCCCAGATCTTGGGTAACAGCAGACCATCCTTACACAACAAACACAAGCTTAATTTCTAGAGCAACAACGGTGTCGGAGAGGCGTTGGAGCGCAGTCCTAATCTCTAAGAAGGTCCATCCAGTCTGCATAGAGCTTTTTAGTCTGTTATGTTAATTATCAGTTATAAAGCTTGAGTTAAAGTACTAGACTTTAGATTGTGCAGATGCTCCTTGTGTCAGAAAGTTAAATATCAGATCAAATAAATTTCACTGTGACCAAATAAACTTCCTCAGGAGCATCCATTTACCAGCATGCTCTTTTGGATTGTGGTCATTCACTAAATTCAGTTAGAAAGAACTGGCACTGTTGGAGTTTTTGTGTCAGAATGTTGTCTCAGGTTGTAGGTTCAAATCCCTGCTCAGCCTTTCTGCATGGAGTTGGTGTGTTCTCATGGGTTTTCTCCAGATGCTCTGGTTTCCTCCCG